CAACTCCAGAGTGGAATAAGGTCCAGCCCCCCTCAAAGAGATCGGTCCAGGGCCCATGCTGTGTGTTGAGGTGAGCCCAACTATATCTAGTCGATACCTCTCAACCTCGCGCACAAGCTCAGGCTCCTTCCCCACGAGAGAGGTCACATTCCATGTCCCAAGAGCCAGCTTTGGTAAGCCACGGTCAGAGCAAGGTGCCTTCGGCTACTGCCCATAGCATCATGCACCTGACTTTTATGGCCCTTCCTGCAGGTGGTGGGTCCACAGGAAGGCAAACCCATGCTGCTCCTTCGGGCTGAACCTGACCGGGCCCCATGGGTAGAGACCCGATCACCAGGCGCTCGCCGATGAGCCCTTCCCCAAGCCGTGGCTCCAGGGTGGGGCCCCAGTAACCCACATCCAGGCAAGGGACACACAGTTCCTTGCTGTGTCATGTCCATAAAAATCGTCTGAATCGCTCTTTGTCTTGCCTGTCACGTAGGAACAATCTGCCTTGGGAGACCCTATCAATTATACAATTAGGCAGTTATAATTGCCTCCGACAGCATAGCTCCTAGGATCATGCAGGTGCACAAACTCCTCCACCACAATAAGGTGGCGATTCAAGGAGGAGTATATACTTATATATATATATAAATTATCTTGGGTAGACGGTACAAATTGTGTGACCAGATGAGGACGAATGAACACAGCAACATGATCAGCAGCATGAGATCAGCATCATGAATAATTATTATAATCTTATTTTAATCATCTCAACATCTTATTTTCAAGATGTCTTATTTATCTTATTTTCAGATGTCAAGATATCTTATAATCAACATCTTATTTTAAAGAACTACTTCAGTAGCCTTTTAAGGAGGAGCTTTTTTATAAGACTAGAGCATGCTCATCATAAAGTCTGAAGAACTTTTTGACATGAAGATAATTATTAATTATTTAATGTAATAAAATCAATTAGAAAGTCTTGTCTTTGACTTAAAATTTCCATTTTAAGTTTATTATTTTAGCATTTGAAACTGAAGCAGGATAAGAAAAAACAAAGAAACAGTGGATCACAACTTTTTCCACTTCATTTTGAGTTTTTTTTCCTTGAATTTCTTTCACTCTCGCACGCAGCTCATTCACACTCGTGCGCAGGTCATACGTGCACGTGCGTGGTCATTCAGTCTCTTGTGCGAGTCATATATTTGCGCACGCGTGTCATCCGGTCACGCGCGCATGTCATATGGTCTCGTGCGCAGGTCTGTACGTCCTTCTTTTGTCCAGTATGGCTAGTCATACCTCCCAGCCTGGGCAGGAGTGTGTGAGCGAGCTGGTGCGTGTGCTGCAGCTGGAACATAGACTGGATACGCCAGCCAAGGGCAACGTCTCCTCTCATTGTATTTTTAATAAATAATCAAAATAAAAATGTGCAATGACTTTGGAATTTTAGGGGTGGAGATTTGAGTTTCTGGATCCAAGCAAACAGTTGCCGGAACACACCCAGTCAAACTGAGAGAGTTCCCGAATCTTGTTCCGGCAGGATCCAGCTCAAATTAACCCCTGGTGAGCACTGTCCAGAGCCCCCTAAGTCATAGTCCTTATAAGAGGTAGAACAATGTTTATCAGCCGGCTCGGTTGAGCTCTGACACAGTCCACGTCCTTGGGGAGTGGAGCAGGTAGGGGTGGGGGGAGCAGAGTGTCTTATTTCCATAACATCCAGGAGAAATTGAAATAATCAGCCTTCCAAGGCCAGCATCGGGGGAGACAGATTCAGATATCGACATTTGTTTTGGGTCAGGCCGAGCTCTGTTAATTTCTGTCTGCCTTTAGAGTCTCACTAGTACATCTCATGGCGACTCCAAACAGCCAAGTTGTGATTATATACACAGAGTCCAGCTTCCATATTCTCCAAGAACTATTCCTTTCTGCCAGCGAGGTTTGCTCGCACAACATCTGAGTCTGAGTGTTGACCACACGGCACATTCCTTCCATGCCAGGTAGCTTAACAATGGCCAGAACAGCTGCTGACGGTTTCCGAATTTGTCGACAAGCCAGGTAACCACCAACTCCAAAAAGCAGAAACCCTGTTATCATAAATCCAATTATGTACACGTCTTCAGCATCCTCGACCAACAATATAGAGAGATAAATAATCTTCCACTTCCCCCAGGAATCCATTGTATTTCCAGCTGCTAGTGTTCTGTCAGAGCAGGAGGGCTCTCCTTTGCCCTGTCTTCTTGTTGAGAAAATTTGATCAATTGCGCTGAGAGACCAGCTGACCAGATCCATAGATTACAATTCGGAAGATAAGCTGAAAGAGACTCTGAAAAAGGTTCACAGGACAAAGAGCAAAGCAGGGACAGAGAAGGAGGGAAAAGTGTCTGCCTTTGCCGAAGGCAAGCAAGAAAATATCAGAGTCAGAGTCAGAGATTCTTTATTGTCATTCGCACCTCATGTGGTACATGTGGTGGAGCGAAATTATGTACACAAGGTCCCAGTTACATCCAACAATAAAATGTAAAAGAAAACCAGTAATAACATCTAAGGTATGAACTAAGAAAAACATCAACTAAATATACACTAAGCACTCATAACATAAAACATTGAACATCAGCACAAACATGAACATGAGTCTGTGTGAGCGGATGTGCACGCATGAACACATCAACACTGAAACAGATCACCAGCAACATGAAACAGATCAGCAGCAACATGATGTGATTTTTCACAGTGATTATTCTAGTTAGAGATTCATGAGTCTAACAGCCTCAGGGTAGAAGCTGTTCTTCAGTCTAGTGGTTCTACACTTAATGCTCCTTAACCTCCTTCCTGAGGGGAGTGGGGCAAAAAGTGTGTGTGCTGGGTGAGTGGGGTCCTTCATGATGCAGGTGGCCCTCTTCCTATATATATAAATATATAATATATATTATATATATATATATATATATATATAATATATAAATGTATAAATTAAGGAGCAAATGAATGATTTTGTACCATAAGAAAAAAAAAACTTTCTCAAGATGTTTGAGGGGTTTTAATTGATAAGACTGAGATGAATGCATATGGGGTCACTCCTAAAAATTGTCTCCCACCATGGGCGTGAACGCTGCTAAGTGATAAAAACACAATTCCACAGTTGGGTAGGTAAAACCAGCACATAAAAATCATGTGTCGGTCAAAAAGGAATATTCTATCCTTCCATTTTAAAAATACAAGGGAGATATTTAACAGCAGAAGGAGATTATATTGTTCAGTCCGCCACATTTTCCAGGTGACTATCGGTAAATGTTACAAAGTTTGTGGTCTGAAGATGAAAACACTGATGGGATTATTGTCTGCAGAATAATCTGTACTGTAGATTTTAATAGTAAATTATTTTATAATTATCAGTTTTAATAAATGTTAAATGGAGACAAAGTATAATAAACTATTTGTGAAGGCTTGAATCATCACCCAACACATGTAAATGGTAAATGGACTGTACTTATATAGCGCCTTTCTATCTGATCAAGATACTCAAAGCGCTGTATTTACAACACAATCTGTGTCCTCATTTTTTTTTAATTTTTTTTTTACCCATTTACCCATTCATACAGCACTCTACTAGATCTCTACAAAGCCAATTGAACAAATCGTTCTTAAGAGACTAATCAGTGCTTTATCACATTCATACACCGATTGGACACACATCGGAGGCGATGAGGGGTTCAGTGTCTTGCTCATGGACACTTTCGCATGTGACTGCTGGTGGATTTGAACCCCCAACTCTTGCATTGGCGGACAACTGCTCTAACCACTCAGCCACAGCCGCCCCTACATGTGAAAGGGTTGTTCTGAATAAAGAGCTAACATGAACACCTTTTATTTGATGTTTTGAACAGAGTAATAGGCAGCAGCTCACACATTTATCTAATACATTTCCATCTGCACACAAAAAAAAAAGATTAGTCAAAAGCAGCTTAATGTGTCTTAGTGAGGTATTGCGGCCACCATGTGTCACCACAACAGATTTAATGCACACAAGCAATGAGTCTAAAACTAGAATAATTGAACCCCATTTTAAATGTAAATATCCTCAAATTTGTTGTTTCATTGACGATGATGGAGACTGGTGTCTGGAGACAAGCTGACAAAAGATGTCATGAACAAGGTGACCTCTGACCTCTGAGTGTAACATGACTAGCTGCAACTTTTGAGATTCTGCAAATGGGAACAAGAGCTAAAGAAAAGTTTCAAATGTAATGTGGCTTCAGTTATCGTTGTATTGTAAATGACAGTTTTTTGTCTACTCGGTTACTGTCATAGCAAAAGTTTAATCACAGTTGATACATGTCAGCACCATTAATACAATTAATTTAATAGCAAATAATTAGTCTAATTGTAGTCTTATAAGGTAGAGGAAGAACTCTGAGGAATGTCTGAAGAAAACTTATGCAAAAACAAATGACCTAAAGCAGCAAAAGTATGAATGCAAATGGGATAATTGTCACAGTTTTAGTACAAATTTTTATCTACATTAAACATTTTCTTGGGGGAAGTATTTACACAGCTGTGTTCAAGTCTGTAATCCATCATAAAAAGGGAGAATCCTAACGCCATGGGTAAAATCGTTCAATCTGTCAATAGAGTTTTTTAAATTTCACAAGGATGATCTCATGAAAAAGAAACCATCCCAGTGCTCCGTATCACCCAGAATAAATTTGCAACAATTTGATCATAAAGAGGGAATAGCAGAAAACAGAAGCACAAGAAGGCAAAAAATAATGTGACACAGAACAGCTGTGTGTTGGGCACAAGAAATAGAACCAAATTGACAACATTGTAAATGTTTTTTTTAAATGTCCAGAGGACCAGATTTAACTTTTTTAGATTTTTCTACCTGGATTATTGAGCATGCATCAGGATATTGTAAATATGGATAATGAAAACGGTCCAAGCCAAGCAAATCCTCCTGCATCTGAGGCAAAGTTGGCATTAACTGAGCTGTATAGACAATAATGAACAAGGCTCACCTTCCTGTGTTCCTGAAGATTCAGTGAGGAGGAGCATTTCCTGTTGCAAATGGTGCATGTAAGTTTCCTTCTTGCGCTCCCTAAGAAATGAGAAAAGAATGCAACATAAAAACTCTTATTTACAATGCAAAGAAAACAAATATGAACATTTCAGAAGACGCTTCTAAAAAAGTTAAATCTGCTCCTCTGGACATTCAAAAAAAAAAAAAAAAAGCAAAACAACAAAAAAAAAATGTAGAAATGTTTCAGCTTTCATCCAAAAGACTTCCACAGTCTGAGGTGCTGTATTCAGCTCAGTCTTATAAATAGCAACTTCTCAGAGTGGATCAACCAGTTTGCTGCTGACAACCAAAACCAGCTGCTCTCATGATCAAGAAGGACCATCATCCTAACGATGGATCATTAGCACCCTGATGACTGTTTACTATTCACAGGGGGCTGAGTGATACTAGCAATAACAACATTGTAAGAGGGGGACAGTTGAACACGGAGGCCTCCACCCCTGTTTAATGATGAACGATTTCTTTTCACAAAGATGGCCTCCTTTACGCCTCTCTAAAACCATCGTTCCTCTCTATCCAGGATGTGAACATCTTCATCCCTGAAAGAGTGACCGCTGGCTTGGAGATGAGTGTAGACCGCAGAGTCCTGGCCTGATAATGTTGCTCTTCTGTGCTGGGCCATAATTTTGGCCAGTGGCTGTTTAGTTTCCCGATGTAAGACTGATCATAGCCCTCCAGACAATGAACAGCATATACAATATTACTCTGTTTGTGCCGGGGGACTGGATCTTTGGGATGAGCCAGTCTTTGTTGTAATGCATTTTGGGGTTTAAAAGCCACTGGGACATTGTGTTTAGAAAATAAACATCTCAGTTTCTCTGATACTCCCGCAACATACGGAATGACCACTGGTCTGGGTTCCTCCTTTTCACATGATGGCTGACTGGAGTCCTGTCAACACCATCACAATTCCAATAACAACACATTCAGTGTAAAACAACACTCCAGTAGACAAATACATGACAGGGATACAGAAAAGTGGGTGAAGAATTTATCTGACAGACAGCTCACCCAGCCGGAGATAGAGATTCTTGCCAGGGGACTGAACTTTGCGGCTGCACCAAGTAGAATTCCTTTGGTGGAGATGATCACAGCCACAGAATCAGCCATCCGCAACAACAAAATTAAAGAGGGTGAAGCAGAACAACTCAGAATCAAAGTTTCAGCCTGCCTCAGCAATGCCAAACCGCCACCTTCCAACATCAGTAGATAGGAGAGGGATGCACTCACCACTCTTAGCAAGGACAAAAACATCATCATTCTCTCAGCAGACAAAGGAAGGTGCACAGTGATTTTGAACCAGAAAGACTATCATGAGAAAGTTATGACACTCCTTAGTGACTTAACCACTTATAAACCTCTGAAAAGATATCCAGGAAGTGGTTACAAGAAGAAGTTGATAGATTGTCTGAAAATTTTGGAGCAGGACAAGGCTATTGACTGTATTCTGTACCACAGACTGTACCTAGAGGAGGACACACCTAGGATGTATGGTTTACCTAAAATCCACAAACAAGGTGTACCTTTAAGACCAAATGTTAGCATGATTAACTCAGTCTCTTTCCAAATATCTGGCGTCTGTACTCATCCCTTTAGTTGGCAGCTCAGAAAACCATATGCAGAACACCATGGACTTTATGGATAAGGTGAGTGATGTCATCATGGAGACTGATGAAACAATGGTCTCTTTTGATGTCACTTCACTCTTTACGTGCATTCATGTTGATGATGCAGTAGAGGTGGTCAGTTTAAGATTAAAATCAGACACTACTCTGAGCAGCAGGACCACGCTTTCCACAGAACAACTGTGTCAACTCTTGAAACTGTGCCTGCAGTCAACCTACTTCACATATGCGGAGCAATATTATAAGCAGAAACATGGGTGTGCTATGGGGTCTCCAGTTTCTCCTATTGTTGCCAACCTGTACATGGAGGAGGTGGAAGAGAGAGCCTTGACGTCCTTTTCAGGGACACCACCAAGTCATTGGTTCAGGTATGTTGACGACACCTGGGTTAAAATTAAATCTCAGGAAGTCCAACATTTTACTGACCACATCAACTCTGTGGATAAATACAACAAGTTCACACGACAAGATGAAAAAAATGGCAGGTTGGATTTCTTGGACTGTGAGGTCTCAGTCTCTGATAGAGGACATTTGCAAACTGAGGTGTACTGCAAACCCACCCACACAGACCAGTATTTGCAGTTTGACTCCCATCACCCTTTGGAGCACAAGTTAGGAGTCATCAGGACTCTGTACCACAGAGCAGACAGCGTCCCCACTAACTCAGGAGCCAGGCAGAAGGAGAAATTCCACACAAGACAGGCTCTAGAGCAATGTGGATATCCTAACTGGGCCTTCCTGAAAGCAGAGAAGAAACCCAAACAGGACTCCAGTCAGCCATCAGGTGAAAAGGAGGAACCCAGACCAGTGGTCATTCCGTATGTTGCTGGAGCATCAGAGAAACTGAAATGTTTATTTTCTAAACACAACGTCCCAGTGGCTTTTAAACCCCAAAATACATTACGGCAAAGACTGGTTCATCCCAAAGATCCAGTCCCCTGGCACAAACAGAGTAATATTGTATATGCTGTTCAGTGTCAGGAGGGCTGTGATCCGTCTTACATCGGGGAAACTAAATAGCCACTAATCAAAATGATGGCCCAGCACAGAAGAGCAACACCATCAGGCCAGGACTCTGCGGTCTACACTCATCTCCAGGCCAGCGGTCACTCGTTCAGGGATGAAGATGTTCGCATCCTGGATAGAGAGGAACGATGGTTTGAGAGAGGAGTAAAGGAGGCCATCTTTGTGAAAAGAAATCGTCCATAATTGAACAGGGGTGGAGGCCTCCGTGTTCAACTGTCCCCCTCTTACAATGTTGTTATTGCTAGTATCACTCAGCCCCCTGTGAATAGTAAACAGCCATCAGGGTGCTAATGATCCATCGTTAGGCTGATGGCCCTTCTTGATCATGTGAGCAGCTGGTTTTGGTTGTCAGCAGCAAACTGATTGATCCACTCTGAGAAGTTGCTATTTATAAGACTGAGCTGAATACAGAACCTCAGACTGAGGAAGTCTTTTGGATGAAAGATGAAACGTTTCTACATGTTTTTGTTGTCTTGCTTTGTTTTGTTTTTTGAAAGTCCAGAGGACCAGATTTAACTTTTTTAGAATTTTCTATCTGGATTATTGAGAATACATCAGGATATTTCAGAAAACATTTTGAAGGGTATCAATGCAGGTACTTTCTGAAATTCCAACATTGTTTTGATGTATAAACTGGTCCTAAATTGGCTCAATATGGTTACTGTGATAACCATACACCTGCGTTTTTCACTCCCTGATGGCATTCATAATAAATAGGGATATGGAATCACAGGACAGAAAATAAGCTTAAAAAACAGTTATTGTATGAAAATAACAAGTCTGAAGGAATTCCTGAGCTGTAAGTGAAAAAAAACAGAAAAATAACTGATAATGAAGGTGTTTCAGTGTTTGTGACAGCACCATTAATCATCACCATAGATTCAGTGACTGCATCATTTTTAGAGCAGTGTCAATCTCCTTTTATCACCCTCTAAACATCTGTTGTGTCTGATCTACTTTTCCCCAACACACACACACACACACACACACACATACACACACACACGTTTGTTGTCCTGGCCACATTTTAGTAAAGAAATAAATTAATTTAAAAAATGATAAGAACTCAGGCTTCAGTTCTGTTATCCTGTTAGACCATACCATACCATTTTATTTATAGAGCACTTAAAACAGCGACAAGGCCAACCAAAGTGCTGTACAGGCAGAACAACTGACAACACACAAAGCAATATACAAAATGAAGTAAATCAGAATATAGACATAAAAACGATGCAGATAATAAATATGTCGACAAACCAATGTGGAGCATACAGGTTCAAAACACAGATCCTCTGGTGTTGAAAGCTACTGAATAGTAGTGGGCTTTTAAACGGGATTTGAAAACCGAGAGGGAGGGGGCCTGTCTGACAAGCAGAGGTAACTCGTTCCAAAGTCTTGGTTCTGCTACAGAGAAGGCCCTGTCACCTATGCGCTTAAGACGAGTTCCTGGAACTGTGAGGAGCAATTGGTCCGCTGACCTCAGGGAACGTGGTGGGACATACGGTTGTAGCGAATGAGAGAGATGGGGGGAGGGAGGGGGCGCGAAACTGTTCAGTGATTTGTAGACATACAAGAGTATTTTGAACTGGATTTGAAAGTGAACTGGTAACCAGTGCAGTGAGGCCAAAACTGGTGTAATATGCTCTCTTTTGCCTGTACTGGTTAAAAATCGGGCTGCTGCATTCTGGACAAGTTTTAGTCGTGCAATGGAGGTCTGACTGATACCAAACAGGAGTGAATTTCAGTAATCAAGCCTAGATGTAATGAATGCATGTATTACTGTCTCCAGGTTATTTTTGGACAATATGGGCTTCAGTTTAGACAGCCGCCTCAGCTGGAAGAAACATGATTTAACAATCATGTTTACATGACTGTTAAGTTTCAGGGAAGGGTCCATTATCACTCCCAGATTAGTGACTCTTTGTTTTCTGATGGATAGAGTAGAGAGGTCGATGCAGTGGTTTGTGATTGTGTCATTGGGAGGGAACAACATGACTTCAGACTTCTTTTCATTGAAACTTAAGAAGTTTAAAGCCATCCAGTCCCTGATGTCAGCCAGGCAGTCGAGCAGAGGTTGCAGAGGTTGAATAGAGCATGTACTATTGTGTCTTAGGGGGAAGTAAATTTGACAGTCATCGGCGTAGAAGTGAAAGGGTATGTTGTGTTTCCGGAAAATAGCACCAAGCGGCCGGAGGTATAAAGAGAATAGGAGGGGACCCAGGATGGACCCCTGCGGAACCCCCCATTTAAGCTCTGTCGCTGCAGAACTAAAATCCTTGATGGAGACACAAAAGGATCTGTCAGCGAGGTAGGATCTGAACCAATTGAGGGCTGACCCTGTGATGCCCACCCACTGCTCCAACCTAGCAATGAGGATCTCATGGTCAATCGTGTCAAAGGCGGCTGTGAGGTACAATAGGACAAGCAGCACAGAATCACTGGTATCTGTGGATATGAAGATGTCGTTAAAAACCTTCAATAAGGCAGTTTCAGTGCTGTGGAGAGGTTTAAAGCCAGATTGGAATAGCTCTAAGATGGCGTGATCCTCCAGGAAGCACTTCAACTGGGACTCAACTATTTTCTCCAGTATTTTAGAAACAAATGGGAGTCTGGAGACAGGCCAGAAGTTGGATACGACTGAGGGGTCAAGGTTTGTTTTTTTTCAGGAGATGCTGGACAGCAGCGTGTTTAAAGGATTTTGGCACCACACCAGTGGATAAACTACTGTTTACTATAGCAAGAATGGACGGACCTAGAGTAGGAAAAGCCTCCTTTAGTAGTCGAGGGGGTACCACATCAAAGGGGGAACCAGAAGGTTTCAAGCTGCACATGACCTGCTCTAGAGAAGATAGGGTGATGGGTTCAAAATGGTCAAATAGAGCTACAGCTTGAGGTGGGATGAGACAAACATCCTTATCTCCAGTTGAAACTTTTTTCACGTCCGGGGCTGTGCAAAGTTAAACTCCCTGCCCTACATCCCACCATAAATAGCTTTGAAAGTCCAATTATCTGACAAAGTGAGCCGCCCCAGAAAACACAGGTCAGCAATTACAGAGCTCAAGTAATGAAGAGATGTGTCTTAAGATTGCCAATGTTTTAACTAATCAAGGTCATGCACTGTTTCTGCAGTTCTTTGAGAGCTGATGTCGCTAGTGGGCCGATTTATTCAATACAAGGTGTTTAAAAAGTGATAAGTCGGTGAATGAAAGTATGTAAAACAAAGAAACTGTTCACAAACATCAGAGAGAAAGATGCAAAATGAAGTAAAGACAGATATTCTCACCTGTATGAACGTTGCCTTTATGTTTCTTCAGAGCATCTTTGCTTTTGAATCTTTTTCCACAGCTCTCTGCTTTGCATATGAACCTGGAATCTCCTTTACACGCTTCTTTATGTTGTTCAAAACTGTGCACATGAAAGACAGATTAAAACAATAAGAGGAAACTACATTATAAAATTAAAATTAACCAAATTGTCCAGTGAAACTATGTATTTTATGGAATAAGTACATTTGACTGTACAGTGTGTCACCTGGACTCGGAGCTGAAGGTATTGTGGCAAAGGGAGCACTGGTGAGCTTTAGAGTCGCCCGATGGGTCAAGTGACTCAGAACAATGCAAAACACTAAAGAGAGAATCAAAATAAAAACTAATCAAATTACATATTTGAATTATTAAAAAATCTGTCATTTTTTTAATATTTCAACTAAAAAATGTACATAACAAGTACATTATAATTGCAGAAAGTGTTGCAATTTGCTTGTTGAAATCTATTTTAGTCACAGCCAATAAATCATCACTCTCACCCTGAAGATTGCAATCATTTTGTTTTGTTCTGTTCTTGGTTTTAGGGGGCAGCTGTGGCTGAGTGGTTAGAGCAGTTGTACTCCAATGCGAGAGTTAGGGATTCGAATCCACCAGCAGTCCCATGTTGAAGTGTCCCTGGGCAAGAGACTGAACCCCTCATCACCTCTGATGTGTGTCCCATCAGTGTATGAATGTGATAAAGCTCTGATTAGTCTCTTTGGAATGATTTGTTCAATTAGCTTTGCAGAGATCTAGTAGAGTGCTGTATGAATGGGTAAATGAGGCACAGATTGTAGTGTAAAGCGCTTTGAGTATCTTGAAATAAGATAGAAAGGTGTTATATAAGTACAGTCCATTTGGTTTTAGGCATTTTGCTAATTGCTGTGACAGAAAAGGGGACAGAGACGGTAATCTAAGCACAGCACCATTACGTGAGTTACTCTGTGTACCATGGCAGTAAACCCTAAAGAGATGCAACATTTCAAACTGTGCACAAATTCAGCATAAGTTGCTGGGAGACCAAAGATATTTTTAAGAAGAAATATTTAAGTGTTTTTTTTTTTTTACTGAGTATTTAATTTCCCCCGTCTCTCTGTATGCTGCCAGTCTTGGCCAGGTCTCTCTTGTAAAAGAACTCTTTTGATCTCAATGGGACAAACCAGGTTAAATAAAGGTTATTATTATTATTATTATTATTATTGTTATTATTATTATTATTATTATTATTACTATAAGAAGAAGAAGCTTGTTTTTCCAGCCACAGCTCGAATGCTGTGTGAATCTGTCAGGCAGCTACAAAAAAAGCCCTAGCATTACATTTACCAATGAAGATGAGGACAAAAAGACCAAGAAGCAATATCCCTAGAGTTAATTTTTAAAGCTTGTTCAACTGAAGCTTATATGAAATAACTTTATCCCACATGGAGTTAATGGTCTGTTGTCATGTTGAAGGACAGCTGCACCAAAAATAATTTAAAATATAATTATTATAAATAATTAAGGTTACTGAGTGGATGAACACTCGTCAATGGAAAAACATTTGGGTGTATGTGTTTGATTGAATGCATCAAGATGTTATCTTATACACTAAGAAACCAAACTGCAGTTTGCACTGTGCACCAAATCAAATTCTGAAGTTTATCGATATTGTGTTTGACGTGTGGCCTATATGACACTATTTAAACTAAATAAATAAAACTTTACATTAAGACTTTTTTAAATTATGATGTATTCACCAGTTAACAAATCTTACCATCAACCTGCTACATTAGAACCTCCCTAACAATAAGCATGGTTTGTTTTTCCCATCTCTGGTCCTGGGAGAGTTATTTGTTTTTTTGGTTTTACCAACAAACAAAAAAAGTAATAAATATTAAAATTTAATAAATATATATTTGGCTCTTATTTTATTTTACTTGTTGGGGTGGCTGTGGCTGAGTGGTTAGAGCAGTCGTCCTCCAATGCAAGAGTCGGGGGTTCGATTCCACCAGCAATCACATGCCATGGGCAAGACACTGAACCTCTCGCTGCCTCTGTGTGTCCCATCAGTGTATGAATGTGATAAAGCTCTGATTATTCTCTGTACTGTAGAGATCTAGTAGAGTGCTGTATGAATGGGTAAATGAGGGCATATATTGTGTTGTAAAGCACTTTGAATATCTTGGTAAGATAATAAGGCGCTATATAAGTACAGTCCATTTACCATTTGTTGTTATTGGCATCAGAAGTATTTGTAATGTGGGGGGTGGGGCGGAGACACACTGATGAGGGGTTCTGGGGGTCCTTCCTCAGATTTTGAATAAAGTAGATGCCATTTCCTGCATTTTGGTGTATTTTAACAAGTTGTTAAACATCTAGTTTACTTACATGAGTAAACATATGATTCAATAACTATTTTAGAGAGCAACAAGAAGTAGCCTGACCAACAGCTCTCCTTGTGTGAATAGAGCACAATGCGCTTCTCTCACGTATCCTAACCCCCCTCACCCATGTTGACAACTGCCAGCACTAACATAGCGCTAAGCTAGCGTGTAACACAGAGGTGTCTGTTACTCCTCCCCCCGCCCCGTCGACAAAAAAAAACAAAAAAACAACTCAGAGATGAGCACCCTGCTAAGCCAAGTGACCGAGGAGAAACACTGCATGTGATGTGGAGTTGTTGTAGGTAACCAGGAAAACCTGGAGTGGACTTTTAGTGGTTTGAGTATTTTCCTATTAATCAAGCAGAATGGATTTGTTCATGAAGAAATAGAAACAGTGTTGGGTGAACAAATATTTCATGGTAAATATGTGTGTGTGTGTGTGTTTGTGTGTGGACGGGGGGGGGGGGGGGGGTTTCCAAATGAATATTATGCTTGTTGTACCAAATCATATATTATAATGTAGTGAAAAAAAATGTTATTTTGACAATTGTAATTCACGAGGCATCACAACAATAGTCCATCATAAGTAGCTGCCTGTCTAGTTATATCAACATTTACCATGAGGGTGCTACGATAAGCTAATATAGGCTTACTAACTATTCTGTTCAATAAGTGATGTAAAATTTATCATGTAATTCACAGAAAAGATAAGAACTATTTTATTTCCCAACTACAGCTTTAAAGCTGTATATCACTGATCCCAAACAGAATCTGGGCTATACTATGGGCTGATTTATTGCTTTCAGTAAATAACACACGATGAAACAATAAACCCACTGGCGCTGTAAAGCTTGTTTGACAGGGAACTTTTTGCCACAGCTCCTGCATTTGAACTCCTTCTCCTCCGTACTGGGCCTCTGATGCAGGCTCTGAAGGTGGGCAGCCAGGATCTCCTCGCTGGGAAAACTGCTCTCACACAGCAGGCAGGGGTGATCCTCTTTCTTTATTACAAGTTCTACAGACACACAAAGCACATACATCTGATTGTTCCCTTGCATGTGAGCGTCATAATCCAATACCTGTAACTGCAATATTAAAAATGATTGAAAGAAATTCAAAATGTACCCATTTCTACAACATGCTTGGCCTCTTTACTATTTTCATCATCATCATCTATGACTTCTTCCTCTTCTTCCTCTTCTTCCTCCATATCACTGTCCAGGTAGCCAATCAGGAGCTCTGTGTCTGTCTCTATGTCGTCCACAGCCAGGTAAAAGATGTTCTCCCCATCCTAATTGTTAAAGCATGGTTATATTCGACCCGACAGGACACAATAACGTATAGAAGCAAAACATTCTGACCCACAGCTAAATCTGTTAGAACTTTCTTACGGTCAAACACACTTCGTTATCTATTGAAGCTTGCTGACGGTTGAACTCATTACACTCAGACAACAGTCAGTTACAGCCTGATTGAGGCCACAGGTCAAAAGCAGAGAGCCTTAAAAATGTGTTCACTAACTTCTCTGTCCTTAAAGGTCACGTTAATAAAATCAAAACGTCGTTTTGTTTTAATTATGGGATTCTAAATGTACATAAACAATGATTAGGAAGGAAAAAACTAAACAATAAATGTCACTGTTGATAAAACGCAGAGATTTAACTCACATGCATGACCTTTAAACAACCAATCACGTTGTGTGTTTGAGTATTAATGGCAGGAACTTGGCCCTGAGACCTGACGTGTTCATATATAGTATGTCTATTTTTCTTCCACCATGAGAGAGAAATCCTTTTCATCTTTCATACAGAAGTGCAAGAGGTGACATTTCCCAGATCCAGCATTCATAAGTGTGTGAACGTCCATTTGTTGGCTTTCAGATGTCTTTTTGTTTTTCTTTAAATTTGAACGATTTTGAGGAACTCACAGGCCTGACTACTGTTGTTGACGTAATTCATCAAGATAATTATGACAAAAAATTTACTTGGACTATTTCAGCCCTTTAAAATTAAAACAAGAAATTTCAATTGTTATCCAATTTTATGCTAAAATTATTCTCATTTATAAAAGATTTTAATGGTTTAAACATTTGCTGACAAAAGAACTTAAAGTCCAAGTGTTGTGTTACCTTAGTCAGTTAACTATTTTTGTATTCTCTAAAATTATTTAGCTGTGGCGAACATCTTGAATCAAGTTGAATCTTACTTCTAACCTACAAAGCTCTCAACAACATAGCTCCATCTTATATTACAGCTCTTATTGGGAGACTGCTCTTTCAGTTATCAGGCTCCTCTCTTGTGGAACCAACTTCCAGTTTCTGTCCATGAGACTGACACATTGTCCAGTTTTAAGACTGGGCTTAAGACTTTCCTTTTTGATCAATCCTATAGTTAGGGTTTGCTTGGGTCTCCTAAGCTATCACTTAATTATGCTGCTATAGGCTTAGACTGCTGGAGGACAAACTGACCACATTTCCTCACTCTTCTGCTGTCTTTACTTACTCTACTCTTCCTGTATGTATTTGAAATTATTTCTATCGTAAAATGTGTTTTTCATCTTTCCTCCTATAGAAAGTACACGTGGACCTGTCATTCTGTCTGTCAGTCTCACCTTTCTGTCCTCTCAAACCCTTGTCCTGAGCCTGGTTCTCCTAGATGTTTCTTCCTGTCAGGGCCGGCCCCAGCATCCATGGGGCCCTAACCAAAATTTGGTTAGGAGCCCTCAATTTTGCTAATAATGTGGATTACTGCAATCAACAGGCAGATGATCAGATCATTCACCCACTTGAAATAAACTGAAGTTCTGACAGCCCTGTTTTGGGGCCCCGAAGACCAACTTTTTTCTTTCTGCATGTATAAAGCTTTGGAACATACGTCACTGTGTTGGGGGCGTGTGGGGGCGTTCCCGTCTCAACCACCATTTTTACTGTCCTCAGAAAAGAAAAAAAACCCTTCTGTGTTTGTCTATGGCGTTACTGGTGTATCCTCCTTTATAACGCTGAAAAGCAGCTCAAAACAAAGTGGACTATATCGTGACAAACTTCTCCCAGATGACAAAAAACAGTACATGGAAAAAATAGGTAAGATTGGAAATGTCGCCCGTTTGAAAAAAATAAAAAAGGAGCAGAGACCTGGAGTAATATTTGCCTCCACTGACATTCCCAGTCATTTTAGGAGACCTGGTGTGTGTCAGTGCTTACATCGCAAATAATTTAAAGAATTACAAATTACTAGAAGCGCTTGTCCAATCTATGAACGGCTGGGTAGACGATTTGGACATTTTTAAAGAACCTGGATTGTGAATATGTTGTGGTTTGAACAAAGGTATGTTGTTCTTGGCTCCTTAATTTTACATAAATTATTAATGTACATTATTTTAGAATCAATCAACCTTCTGTTTGTGTGTGTGTGTATTAAAATACACATACAGATATATTATAATTTATGTTTCCGTCTTTTCATTCATCATTTTAATTGTGTGTTCACAGGTTCTGCACTCTCAGACTCTGAGCCACCAGAACACCATGGGTCATGCTGAGCAACACTGTGTCTAACAAACAAAATGGAGTGTGAATCATGAGGATGATGCTCAAAAAGGCCTACATTAAAATTACAGCTAGCAGTACAGAAATCTAAAAGTTAAATGTGGTTTCATCATAAACACCAACATCCCTGAACTTGGAGCGTCTCCTGATGGACTCAATGTGTGATTGCTGCTGCCTGGAGAAAGTTTCCTTACAAATATAGAGCATGCAGCATCCAGCAGGCCGTGGAGGCAGGCAGTGAACTTCACCTGAAGAAACATCATCCATAGTATGCACAGGTACATAATCAAACCACTGTGACCTTGTGTCGTGTGTCTCCAGAACAGGAATTCTGGGAAGCACATCTACAGAAAGCACGAAGCTTCTTAAAGATATCCTGATGCATGCTCAATAATCCAGGTAGAAAAATCCAAAAAAAGTTCAATCTGTTCCTCTGGACATTCAAAAAAAACAAAAAAAACAACACAAAGCAAAAAAATATAGAAACGTTTCGTCTCTCATCCAAGAGACTTTCTCAGTCTGAGGTGCTGTTTTCAGTTCAGTCTCTTAAATAGCACCTTCTCAGAGTGGATCAACCAGTTTGCTGCTGACAACCAAAACCAGCTGATCACATGCTCAAGAAGGACCATCAGCCTAACAATGGATCATTAGCACAATGATGGCTGTTTACTATTCACAGAGGGCTGAGTGATACTAGCAATCACAGCATTGTAAGAGGGGGACAGTTGAACCCGGAGGCCTCCACCCCTGTTTAACGATGGACGATTTCTTTTCACAAAGATGGCCTCCTTTACTCCTCTCTCAAACCATCGTTCCTCTCTGTCCAGGATGTGAATATCTTCATCCTTGAAAGAGTGACCGCTGGCCTGGAGATGAGTGTAGACCGCAGAATCCTGGCCTGATGATGTTGATCTTCTGTGCTGGGCCATCCTTTTGGCCAGTGGCTGTTTAGTTTCCCCGATGTGACTGATCACAGCCCTCCTGACACTGAACAGCATACACAATATTACTCTGTTTGTGCCGGGGGACTGGATCTTTGGGATGAGCCAGTCTTTGCCGTAATGTATTTTGGGGTTTAAAAGCCACTGGGACGTTATGTTTAGAAAATAAACGTCTCAGTTTCTCTGATACTCCCTCAACATACGGAATGACCATCAGTCTGGGTCTGGGTTCCTCCTTTTCACCAGATGGCTGACTGGAGTCCTGTTTGGGTTTCTTCTCTGCTTTCAGGAAGGCCCAGTTAGGATATCCACATTGCTCTAGAGCCTGTCTTGTGTGGGATTTCTCCTTCTGCCTGGCTCCTGAGCTAGTGGGGACGCTGTCTGCTCTGTGATACAGAGTCCTGATGACTCCTAACTTGTGCTCCAAAGGGTGATGGGAGTCAAACTGCAAATACTGGTCTGTGTGGGTGGGTTTGCGGTACACCTCGGTTTGCAAATGTCCTCTATCAGAGACTGAGACCTCACAGTCCAAGAAAGCCAACTTGCCATTTTTTACATCTTCTCGTGTGAACTTGATGTATTTATCCACAGAGTTGATGTGGTCAGTAAAATGTTGGACTTCCTGAGATTTGATTTTAACCCAGGTGTCGTCAACATACCTGAATCAATGACTTGGTGGTGTCCCTGAAAAGGACGTCAAGGCTCTCTTTTCTACCTCCTCCATGTGCAGGTTGGCAACAATAGGAGAAACTGGAGACCCCATAGCACATCCATGTTTCTGCCTATAATATTGCTCCCCATATGTGAAGTAGGTTGACTGCAGGCACAGTTTCAAGAGTTGACACAGTTGCTTTTAAACCCCAAAATACATTATGGCAAAGACTGGTTCATCCCAAAGATCCAGTCCCCCGGCACAAACAGAGCAATGTTGTGTATGCTGTTCAGTGTCAGGAGGGCTGTGATCAGTCTTACATCGGGGAAACAAAACAGCCACTGGCCAAAAGGATGGCCCAGCACAGAAGATCAACATCATCAGGCCAGGACTCTGCAGTCTACACTCATCTCCAGGCCAGCGGTCACTCTTTCAGTGATGAAGATGTGCACATCCTGGATAGAGAGGAATGATGGTTTGAGAGAGGAGTAAAGGAGGCCATCTTTGTGAAAAGAAACTGTCCATCGTTAAACAGGGGTGGAGGCCTACGTGTTCAATTGTCCCCCTCTTACAATGCTGTGATTGCTAGTGTCACTCAGCCCTCTGTGAATAGTAAACAGCCATCAGTGTGCTAATGATCCATTGTTATGCTGATGGTCCTTCTTGAGCATGTGATCAGCTGGTTTTGGTTGTCAGCAGCAAAACTGGTTGATCCACTCTGAGAAGGTGCTATTTAAGAGACTGGGCTGAATACAGCACCTCAGACTGAGGAAGTCTCTCGGATGAGAGACGATACGTTTCTACATTTTTTTGTTGTTTTGCTTTTTGTTTTGTTTTTTGAATGTCCAGAGGACCAGATTTAACTTTTTTAGATTTTTCTACCTGGATTATTGAGCATGCATCAGGATGTATTACCTGTAGCTCAGTCAAGGAGTGCAGTAACGTCTCCACCATCATTAAAACCTGTTGCGGGTCTGTTTTGGGTGCTCAGGTTTGTTTACATTCATCCCGGAAGTAAACCAGAAGTAGAACTTCTTCTTCGGTGTTTTTTTAAGGAGAGTTTACCACTCTGCGCATGTCAGTACTGCTGTTCAGAACAAAGCCCGCTGCATGTAAACGCTTGTCATGAACAGATTTTGCCCATGTAAACAATACATTTGAATTATTTAATCTGAAAACATTTCAATCCGGTCAAAAAAATGTTGCGCATGTAAACATAGCTATAAACAGGCACACAGAGACAGGTGCCCCATGAATCCGTCCATGTGCCCCATCAACCCGACAGCGACCGCAAGCTGGACCCAGGCCGGGAGCCAGAGCAGCATGGAACAACTGCCGAGGAAGGCCGGCCCAGCGCAACAATGCTTCCCTACAGCCCCACACCACAGGCCCAGAGAGGCTCCGGCACGCCACCCATGCACCCCCCCCCCCCCAAACACATACACACACAGCACCCCCCACTGCAAACGTCACATCAGGCCGACCAGCCAGCACCCCGTCAAAGTCATTGGTCGTCATTTGGTGTGTTGGACTCCCCTCCGGTGGTGGGCCCCCCTGCCGCCGGTGCATTGGCGGCTCTCAGCAGCTGGGGATGGGTGGTGGGGTGTGTGCGGGCACACCCTGGTGGCTGCCTGCCGGGACCTGGGTGTCCTGGCTCTGTCGGGCCTCTGTTGGGGGGTGGTATGACCTCGGGACTCGGGGCTCGATGTCCATGGCCGGATCTACTCTGGAGGGGCGGGGTGCTGGCGGGGCCTGTGGACTCAACGCTGCAGCCTCCTGGGGTTTCTGCATTGTGGTGGCTGGGGATCGCCCGGGGCTTCCCTTTGCTTCTCTCTCTGGGGGGTGTGGGTGTCCATGTTGGGGGACTCCCAGAGTTCCGGGCTTGGGGGCCTCTGTGTGTCTGTGGTTCCGGTCTTCCCTGTGTTACCATCATGTCCTGTGGGGGATGGGTCTGTGGGTCCCCACATCCACTATTGAACATTTTTATGGAGAAACCTTATAGTGACAAGCATGCTCACACAGGTGTTTAGATTCAGGTGTTTATCAGATACACACGCAATTGGGTTGTGGTGGCCACTAAATATATCTTGTATTTCCATGTACTGTATAAAATACTTTCTAATGATGTTACAAGTATCATTATATATGTTTGTTGTTGTGGTTTCTCGGTTTTGTCTTGTCTTTTTTTTTTCGCAGGTCTAGAGGCAGACTTCAATGATGTTGATTTGATTCTGAAACAAGCCCATAGCAAATTCTAATAAAATTTAATTTTTATATCAAGTGGAGCATTAAGGCCAGTCATAATGCTCTGCTTGTGAAAGTAAATCTGTTGGGCATCACTTTGACACTCAGACAATAATTCTAAGTGTCACAATGCCGGACAGGACAAGGGGAAAAAAAAAAGAAGCATTAGATTTACAACTACACTAGAACACATGTTCACTAAAGTGCAGCACACACACACACAATCTTAAGAAGTGTCACCTTTTCACCCTCATGTGTAAGCAGCAGTATATTTAACCAGTATATTTCTGTGTAACATTGTGTCTTTGTTTCTCATGCAACCAATCACTCTTTGAACCAGGGACCTGCGTGCTGAGAGGCAGCAGCTCTACCAGTTGCACCACCGTGCTGCCTCATATAAAAATCATTACTAAAAAAAAAATAAAAATTCCACTTAGGGGGCCCCTAAGCAGCCAATTATGAGGTTTATGTCTCCAGCTGGCCTTTTTTCCTGTTAAAAAGAAGTTTTTTCCTTTCCACTGTCTCCTTTGTGCTTGCTAAGGATGAGAGACTTAGACAAAGGGAAGATTCAACACATCTGCTGCTTCCTTAGATAAATAACTTTTACTAATTGGCTTCTATAATATATGTGAATGTTTTTGTACAGAGAATTGACAACTTCTGTTGTGACTTAGTGCTTTATAAATAAACTTGATTGAATTGAAATTTAACTTTTGTGGATTTACATCCAAATAATACTTTTTGGAAGTCTTAATAAAAATTGTATTAGTGGCTGATAACATATTTTGCTGAAAGTCAAACAAACTAAAACACACACACAGACACAAGTAAAAAACATTACCCCCCTCATTTATTTGAGTGATAATAATAAAAAAAATTATTACAACTGTGGTGGGTAATTATCCTTCAGCTGTTTCTGGTGTTGCACTTGTCGTTTCCAGTCTACATCCACTGTGTAGATGTTTTTCATAATTTCAGAATCTTACAAGAAATGTATGTTTTACAAAACGGTTTAAAACAAACTGTTTATTTTGATCTAAAAAAAACAGAGCAACAAAACTTTGGATTTTACTTTTAGAAGTTTTTCATGTCCAAAGAAAGAACTCTGTATTTATCTATGTGTTTTTCTTGTATTATTTATTTTATTTTATTATCATTTATTTTTATGGGGGTTATGAAGACGTTGAGGGATTCAGTGCCAACAGAGTGGAAACGTACCTGAATGGCTGCCAAGTTTTTCTGCTCCTGTGAAGGCGCCTGATGGACAAACCGCAGCCAGTTGGCATAGCGAGGATTACTCGCATCCAGAATATACAGCACATCTCCTTTACTCCCACGAACCTGAAAAAGCAAACATAGTAGCTGAAAAAGAAGTCAGAAGCAAAAAAACTCATTCTTGTTCTAAAGGTCTGATCTGTCCTTTTGTCACAAACACAATTCTATAGAATGGTCACAATGTGACAGCTACAGATAACTGCAGCATTTGTTTCAGTCCTCACCATCAGCTTCTTCTCTTCTACATGTGATCATAGTTATTGTATATCAGCCAGTATGGTTCATTGATCTGCAAAGTAATTAACTGTTGTCTCTATCGCAGAGAAACACATGGAATAAAACTGTTCGACCAAGAAGCTGTTTTATGTGATGAACAACGTGTTTTTTTAACCTAAATTAATTTCTACTCTCTAATCAGAGCATTTATTCCAATTGCTCTTTTATTTATAGGTAATAATAAAATATTTATATTTCACCTGTTTTAGTTGTGGCAAACTGTTTCCTTTTGTAACTTGTAGTTTATGTATTATATTTTTCATAATGATCTCATTTTTAATGTAAAATTTCGTCTATTTTCTACATAACATTTGTTTTATTACTTACATTCGGCCATTTATATCAGTAAAATTCTCATGTTCTCCTTTTGTACTGTATTAAAAATACAAACAGTGGTTCTATAATTTTCCTTTCACACGTTTTTCTGTGTAACTGTGCTTCTCCAGAACCCTTTTAAAACTCAAAGTGTGGATGACAACCACATGATGACATAAAAACTGCGAGAACATAAATAGTCTTCACAAACTTTTGGCGAGGTCTTCAAGGGTGTATTAAAAACCCGGTGGGATCCAGTGTACTGTATATGATGGAGCATAATAGGCAGCACGATGGCCTAGTGGTAAGCAATGTTGCTTCAAACAAAGAAGGTCCTGGGATTGATCCTGTTTGGACCTGGGGTCTTTCTATACTGTAGTTTCCTCCCACTCTTTATTATAGGTCACAATGAACAATGCTTTTTACCTTCTACGTTCTCCTTTCTTCCTTTTTGGGTCATGGGGGTCACTGGTGCCCATATCCAGAAGTCACTATGTAGGGTTTCCCCTAGGTTAGCTGTCTTAGCAGGGCGCCCATCCCTTCTGTGATTTGTCGATTGGGGGGGGGGGGGGGGTGAAGAGACGGAAGCATGTCTGTGTTGCCCCAATTGTAAGCAAACAGAGCACTTCAGTAGTAGACCCTCGTTTATTGCGGTGGATCAGTACCCTGAAGACCCACGATAAGTGAAAAACAGCTAAGTAGGAATAGTAGTACAAGTAAATGGATTGTACTTATATAGCGCCTTTCTATCTTATTAAGATACTCAAAGCACTTTAAAAAATCTGTGTCCTCATTTACCCATTCATACAGCACTCTACTAGATCTCTACAAAACTAATTGAACAAATCATTCTAAAGAGACTAATCAGTGATTTATCACATTCATACACCGATGGGACACACATCAGAGGCCATGAGGGGTTCAGTGTCTTGCCCAGGGACACGTTGGCATGTGACTGCTGTGGGGTTCGAACCCCCAACTCTTGCATTGGAGGACGACTGCTCTAACCACTCAGCCACAGCCTCCCCTACATTAGGTACAAGTAGTATTATCCATCCATCCATATACATATAT